CAGTACTGCCATTCTTCATCTTCCCTTTTTTCAGTTAGATTAGCTGAGTAGTATTTATAGAATCTGTTACAAAATCCTTGGATAGGCGCATAAAGCCTAAACAGGTGCAAACTCAGATGCCCAGTCTTTGGTTAAGAGTGTAGGTTAATGCTAAGGAAAGTAGTGTAATTTGTCGGAAAATTCAGACCCTAGGTTTGTCTGAATCAGAAGCTGTGCATTTTTTCACATGCACATGTTTTTCCCATGTAACCATGAATGAAAAAACCAGAATAGAGGTGTCCATTCAATGAATTATAAATGAAATATTGTGATGTAGTGGGAAAGAATGATTCTGAGTGTCAGGAGATTTGACCTCTCTCTGCTGAGCTTTTTAGCCACCAGTGTGATTTTGGAAACATCACTTAACCTGTGTGGGCCTCAGTTTTCATGTAAAATAGATAAGGAGAATTGGATCAAAGTAACTCAACAAAGTTTAACCAACTTTTACAAACTAATAAAAACAGTCTGTTTTAAAAAATGAAACATTAAAGTGTTTAAGGAGTTTCTATCATTTTCTGCTTTTGCACATTTGCCTGATAATGAAACTGAATTCTTTGGTAACTGAAACCCTATCTTTTTATTTAGTGCCTAACATAGCACCAGGTACATAGTTGAGGCACAACCTGTTTATATGAAGGAGACCAATCAATCACACTTTTCCTTCATTCTCATATTTCCTCAGCTCATGCTCCATCACCCCTCCCCCTCCCCCCAATTATTTCTGGTAATCTCTAGGTTTCTTGGGTTCCGGAATGTGTCCCACACTCTGGGTTCTTTGGACATTCGTTGTGCCTGAGCATCTGCTATTACTGGTGATCTGCCATGCCACTGCTGGGAACATTAGATCCCTCTGGGAGCATTTTTCCTGGTAAATACCACTTGGTAAATACCATAAAACTGCAAAGCCTTATGCATACCCAAATGACAATGAATATATACATCTAGGCTTGCAGAAGCCCTAATAAAAGTATTTCCTTCATCTGCTTTAAGTTCTCTCCTTTAGAGCTCAGAAAAGCACACACTATAAGATCAGGTATCGTTTGTGCTTTTCTACTCAGGAATTTCTCTCACTTTCTCACATGCCAAAAAAAAAAAAAGAAGAAGTTCAAGTTCTTATATGGATCAGCTCCTGAAAATAGAAACCCTGGGTAGGAGAAATCAGTCATGATACTGAAGACCATTTAACTACTTGGGGATTTCTGAACTAGGTGATAATTTTAACATGCACTTACCTGTTGTTTTCCCTTTTCCCTTCATCAGAACCTCCTGACACCCTTTGCATTTCAGTTCATTCCACTATTGTTCCCTTTTAGTCACACAGGCTCAGAACGTTGGCATCATCTTTTTCCTTCTTAGCCTCTTCTCTCACATTCAAATAGTATTCCAGTTCTGTAAGTTCTTCCTTCCTGTCATTAGATTCCGTTCCTCCATTTCCATTAGTATTTTTTTTTT